TAGTTATATTTATTCCTTATCACCAATGCACGGTTGTATCTCAGGTCGCGCGTATGCGCTCAGTTGTTTACATCTCGGTTCGACCGCACATGTAGCAGTAGCCATGCTCGCATGCACAGCTCATGCACAGCTCGTGCACAGCTCGTGTACAGCGTTAGCGCACACACATCCATTCCCACTTTTTCAAGTATATCATCATAGAGATTGTATTGTGTTATATTTCACCGCTATTCGTCAGTATTTTACCAAATAAGTTGTTTGTGATTTATATACATTTATATATATTTATATCTTTATTTTGTATTCACAGAACCACACATCTATGCACATTTAATAAACCTACGATTTGGAATATAACCTGAGTGAGACATCATTGTTCTGACCGGACAAACTGCAGCCTTCAGCCAAACCTGAACTAGCAATTAGAGTGAATACTCACAAGATTTTTCAGAAACATTAATACGTTTAGTTGTAATTTTATATATAGTTATGTGTTTATTTAATATAATAAACAAAGAAGCATAAACAAAACGAGGGGTGTCTGTTTTGTCTGTTTTTGTGACTAACGTTTCTTTAATATAGCAATAGAGTATAAAAACCAATATAAATTCTCGGTATAGCATTGGACTCTACGATCGGCGGAAGTAATCCAGCATCCTTAGACCTTCACCGGAAATACCGCCGTGAGCCCATTGGCCGACGCTGGCCATGTGTGTGATGCGTGACGTACAACCTAGAAGCTTTGCGTAGTTTCACTACGTGAAATATCACGGCCGAACAGAGAAGGAAATTATTTTTGGGTGAACTAACCCTTTAATCAGTACAAGTCAAGTCATCTTCATTTATATAGCGCTTTTAACAATGGAGATTGTTTCAAAGCAGCTTTACAGAGATAAACATACAATTTACGGTAACAGAGATTGTTTTGGCTTTATAGCGATTTTTGAATAGTGTTATTTCCAGCTAAAGTTGGTTTTGATTGATTCACTTCCAGCAAAATTATCATTTGTTATTACATTAGGGGCCACTAAGACGACGGCGTTCTCTCTAAACAGACTTTAAACGCGAACCTAGCTGTGACCTGCATGATGGCGTTCACATGCGCATTAAAAAATGATTCTATAGTTATATTCGTTTGAATATGTGTGTGCAGGTTTGTAATTTCGCAACAAACCATGCCTAAACAAACTACTTGTCTTGCCTATAAAATTTGATACAGAATTTTATTTTATCACTTCGAGGTACGCGAACCGGATTTTCAACAACGCTTTATCTGTAGAGAGTCAAGTCAAGACAGCAGTTTTCAACATTGATAATAATAATAAGAAATGTTTCTTGAACACCAAATCAGCAGAATGATTTCTGAAGGATCATGTGACACTGAAGACTGGAGTAATGATGCTGGAAATTCAGCTTTGCCATCATCATACATTTAAAAATAAAAATAAATAGAAAACAGTTATTTTAAATTGTAATAATATTTCACAATATTAATGTTTTTACCATATTTTTTATCAAATAAATGCAGCCTTGGTGAGCAACAGAGACTTCTTTCAATAACATCACAGTTTATTACATTTGAACAGTGTTAGTTTAGGATATAAGAGAAGTACATCAAATTCTGCATGGGTCAAAGATCCCCTAGAGGTTATTTGAATAATAAAAAAGCATTTTGCAAAGAACATGCTAAGAATATATGTTGCTGATATGATAAAATCAGCACCTTTGCACGTGTTCATTTGTGTGCAGTAAATTTCGACACATTGAGCCAGTTATGACACAGTAATGTTGGCTTAATGTTTCTATGTCGTATAAAAAACGTTTAAGTATCGTGTAAAAACGAGTGATATGTACCTGTAGATCATTTTGGTGTTGGTGCTCACTGAGTCCTTTAAAGAGTACCCATGAATCTGCATAAAACGGCCCAGCTGCTGAAGCTCAAGGGCAGAGCTGGATCTACCTGTCCAGTGAGGACAACCTGCGGTGTGGTGTGAGCTCAGTCCTGCCCGCTGTCTCAGGAGGAAGTGGCCTGTGGTTCTCTCAGAGCGCTGAGCACTTCTCTGCCTGGGGAAGGGAATGTCACCGCAAGCTGCCTTGTACAGGTACATTTTGCTGAAAATGCTGTGCTGTCATAAAGATGTGAGAACTCGTGATGTGAGGGCAGTTTTTATATTAGCACACAGAGCTTTTAGCCTGGATAAACAACTGCGGCCAACTGAGGCCAATCCAAATACAGGACATCACGCATGGAATTGTAATCCTTTAGTACCATCCAGTTATGGCTTTTCTGACCTCAAGGCATTCCAGTGAACAATGGGAGATAGATTTGTAAGTCATCTAAAATCCCCATGTTCCCTGTGCGACTGTAGTCAGAAAACCCAAATCTCTGAGCAACCACCCATACAAAAGGAAAGACTGAGGTCACACACACAGGTGGCAGCTACAGCTGGATCTACAACTCTAATTCCAGAAATTAAAAAATCTAAACACATCGGTTTATGACATTGCATTATCCTTGGTAATTTGTTAATTAGATAACAAAATCAGCTCTTGCATGGGGTCTGGCGCTTTCTGGCATCAGTGCCGAGTGACTGCCAGCTCCTTTGGTAAGATAAGCTGGGAAAAGCTTGGACATATTTATGACATCAGGTCAGATCAGTTGAATGGTATGCAGAGGATTTCAGCCAGAACACATATGAGATGGTGTAGCACAGCTCCTGTAACCTCTGTTTCTACTTACTGAAAACAGAATTATCCATTGAATGATCCTGAGTCTGGTTTTACAGCGTTTTTGTTCTATCAGCTGCTGATCTTTCTATGATGCTCAAAAATGCTGACTTGTTATACTGACTAATTTAACAAGATTTGTTCTCAATTCAGACTCGCCAACATAGATTTGTTCTCAATTCAGACTCGCCAACATAGATTTGTTCTCAATTCAGACTCGCCAACATAGATTTGTTCTCAATTCAGACTCGCCAACATAGATTTGTTCTCAATTCAGACTCGCCAACATAGATTTGTTCTCAATTCAGACTCGCCTACATAGATTTATTCTCAATTCAGACTCGCCAACATAGATTTATTCTCAATTCAGACTCGCCAACATAGATTTGTTCTCAATTCAGACTCGCCTACATAGATTTATTCTCAATTCAGACTCGCCAACATAGATTTATTCTCAATTCAGACTCGCCTACATAGATTTATTCTCAATTCAGACTCGCCTACATAGATTTATTCTCAATTCAGACTCGCCAACATAGATTTATTCTCAATTCAGACTCGCCTACATAAATTTGTTCTCAATTTACACTCGCTTACATAGATTTATTCTCAATTCAGACTCGCCTACATAAATTTGTTCTCAATTTACACTCGCCTATATAGATTTGTTCTCAATTCAGACTCGCCTGCATTAATTTGTTCCTTAATTCAGACTCAGACTAAAAAAAATCTGACTTATTTAAACAGCCTCAAACTCAGACACACAAGAGCTTCAACAGATCAAAATGTAGACATTTTCCAATATGGCTGCACTCAAAGTAATTTGTATATTTAAATGCACAAATTTGTTGTCGAATTCAGACTCAAACGGATGTAGTTCAAAATCAGACAAATCCGTTCTCAATTAAGACTCACAATGATATAACAGTACTTCAGTTCAGGAATGCTGAGAATGGAAGAATAAGAGAGTGAAGGGTTCAGTGAAGGAAAGACTGAAGGACTATAGAAAGATGAGAGTCTTTCTAAACATTCTTTTTGTGAAAAATATGGGGAAAAAGAGATCTGTGACCATAAAAAAAAGAATGCTGCAGAGAGAGAAACTACATGAATGGAATACTGATAACTAGCTTGACAGATTCGCCCTATAACTGCTGCAGGCAAAACACATTCAGCTGTGGCAATGACTTAGTAAAGCTCCACATACTTACTGTCACATACACACACAGTCAGTTTCCCTGACTGAAGCAGGCTAATAGCTCTCAAATGGCTCATGGCTCTCACATGGCTCTCAAAGAGAAATTTTGAGAGAAAATTCATTTCATAAAAATTAAACTTTAATAATCTCTAAATTAGGCAAGTCATGTTTTGATAGTCTGCTACTAGGTTTCCGTATCCTGGGGGATATAGTGATTTGAGAGGCTGCTGGGAGGGACAGTGAGCGAATGAACCTAATTTCTCAGAAAAATATTGAAAAGTGGGTCCCTGAAAATACTCAGGTCAATAATTGACTTGATAAAGATTCTGACATTAACCTGCATGGTCACATCAAGTGAGAAGACAAATGACGTTATCGTTAAATAAAAGCAATATTTTAAAGAGACATAGCTGCTAATTCTGAACTACTGAACCGTCTGTTTCTCCTTGACATTCATAAAAGGGATTAATCCAACAACACACAACTCTACTGATCACAAAGTACTCGGCTTCAGGCCTGCAATCATTTTGACAAAGTTAACCAAACACGCCCTCTAGTGGTTTTACTTACAGGTGTACACATTCATTCACTGGCCTCTTGAGGTATAACGTTAACTTTCTTGTTTAGTAGAGATTAATGCATCACAGATTAATCCATATTTAATTACAGACTTATCTAACACTAAGAAACATAGGCAATATCTTAATTACATGATCTTAATAATGTTTAATTAAAACCATAAATAGGCTACTTCGGAACAACAGTATACGGAGTAAAGCTCTATTTGAAACTCGCTACAAAATTATATTAGGCTAGTTATTCGCTTAGTGCTAGTTATTAGATAAACGTGTTTTATTGTAGCTATATTGTTTTAAGTTCCTTTTGTTATTTAGATAATACTTTAAAATGTGTTCTAAAACACAACCTCGGTTAAGACTTCACAATTTGCCAACTGTAAACTTACTATTGATAATAAATGATTTACATCGATGATGGTTACTTTTGTGAGTTTTATGCCATACTATGTAACAAAGACGCCTAGCAACAGTTGCTACTAGAATCCGCGTGCAGTCTCCATGGAAATGCTAAACTCCAGCCACCCGGAAGAGCAGCACAGCGACGCCTTACAAAAAAACTAAATAGAAAACTCTAAAAAATACTTCACCTTCTCGTTAAAACTTAGCGAATAATAAAGATGGAGGATCTTGCCTCCGTGCATCATCTCCAGGCGCTGTCCGCCCTGCTCTCTCCAAACAATGAAGATGAGGAAGAAGATCTCCAGGTCTGAGCTTCTTACAAATCCAATTTTACATTGTCGGCTTGCGTTAAGGATAAGTCGCTGAACAATTATCCTGTTTGTTTTTCTTCAGAAAGTGAAGCCCATAGCAAAGCTGGGCCCGGGACATATCGGTTCTCCTGCTGTACCTTCGGGGGATAAACAGAAAGAGGGTAGGGCTATATAATATTAGCCTATTATTCTTTTTTTTTTTTAAATGGTGTGTGTGTGTGTGTGTGTGTGTGTGTGTGTGTGTGTGTGTGTGTGTGTGTGTGTGTGTGTGTGTGTGGAATAGAATATTATTTTAAATTGTAATAATATTTCACAATATTGCTGTTTTTTTCTGTATTTTTGATCAAATAAATGCAGGCTTGATGAGCAATAGAGACTTCAAAAACATGAAGAAACATGAAAAAATATTAATATTAATTTCCAAACTTTTGACCAGTAGCCAACTGTATATACACACACACAAACATATATGTGTGTGTGTGTGTGTGTGTGTGTGTGTTTTATTATTTTAAAATAATATACTTTTATAATAATAAATATAATTGACTAACTAATTTGAAATCGTTAAACATTATGTCACGTTTTGCTATTTTCACGCTGCTTATGGGTTCACTTGTGAGAACACAAAAGCATCCTTCTATATGGTTCTGTCTCTCTTCCCTCTAGGTAGCACTGCCTATGTGAAGAAGAACAGCAAAGGCATCTGGGATGAGGATGAAGTGACCGAGGGGGCGCATTTTGATGACCTCACCGATCCACGGCCACAGCCAGAGTAAGAGAAAATACATGCATGTCAAAATCACTTGAGCTGTGTAAGTGAGCTGGTCTCTCACTGTGCATGTGTGTTTGTATGTTTAGGTACGAGATTGTGCTGAAACAGTCTGTTGGGACTGAAGATTTGTTTCTTGGCTTGAGCAGAAAGGACCCCTCATCCATGTGTTGTGACAGCATGCTGGTACTGCTCAATCCTCTTAAACATTAATACGACATTCACAAAACTTAACAGCATCTTTGCTGGGGTCATTAAATACATGATAAAGGGATAGTTCACCCAACAATTTAAATTCTGTCATTAATTACTTCGTTCATCTTCGGAACTTAAATGAAGATCTTTTTAATGAAATCGGAGAGCTTTCAGTTCAGACTGTGTTATGCAACTACCACTTTTAACTTTAACTTTATTTTAACTTCAAAAAGGTCATAAAAAGATCCATTATCCAAAATAATTCATATGAATTGAGCGGTTTAGACCTGAATCGCTTTATATGACGAACAGACGGAATCTAGGCTTTTGTCACAAGGTGACGAACCAGCAGCGGAACTATATATTCCACGGAGGAATGTTTCCGCCCGGAGCGCTTTCGACGCAACACCCAGCCAGCCTGGTATGCGTCGCTGCCATGGCAACAGCAGCCGCTGATGACAGAGTGACAGCAGGTGCGGCGCATCAAGGGGCTGTTTGATGATTGGGACACACAGCGCTTTGAAACAGATAAAAACCAAGCTTTAGGAGATCAAGGAGACAGTTCAGTGCAGTGTTCTGTGTTCGGTGTTCGGGTGCTGTGTCCTGACTTTGTTCCGTCGAGAAAGGCTGAGAGTTTCTGTGGGACAAATTGACTGGTGAGATCGACCCGCGGAAGGGAGCCCGCTACGAAAGATTGGGTGGTGTGGAACCAAGGGCGAAATTGTCAATCACACATTGGGGGGGACAGCTGTGGAACTTTTTGTGTTGGCGCATGCACACATTTTTTTAATCAAAATAAAATAAAAGTCAGAGTCCGAATGTTTGTAATTGTATAACACAACAAGGAATTTTATTACATCTGATCGTCAAACCAACGTATAGCCTACTCACAATGATTACAGCATCGGCATCAATTACAGGCCTGAATTGACAACAAAGCGGTCAGTGATCTCTCTCTCTTATATTCTTCTATAAACATATAGTGGCTATAAACATTTTGATTAAATTACGGTTACAGCACAACAGGATATTTACCATTCATAGATAGCCTATGTGCCAAATGTCTGTCAATTTCCGCGCTCCTCCTAACTCTTTTTCTGTTTGGTTTTTCCTAACTCACTGACGATGCACTAGGGATAGGAAAACATGACATGGATTTCAGGAGAAATAGGTTTTGCTAAATGTATAGTGTAAGGAAGTCCGAAATGGATTTGGGAAATGGACCGGCCGGGATTTTATATTTTCGGAGCTGGGAAGAAAGACGTAGGCTATTTGCAATCACATCTGGCCCTGCCCGCATAATCATACAAGCCGCGTTTCCATTAGGCTACTCTTCAAATTGCGCCAATTGAAATTGCGTAGCCTAATGAAAATGCGCACAATGGAAACACGTCCATTTCGCAAAAACTCCCGTTTATCCCAATAAAGTTTTTACGCTTGCATGAGGAGGCTTTTCAGGCAATTTGAAAAAGGAATATTTCGCAAAACTGCAATGGAAACGGGTTTTGCGCATTTACAGTCAGCTGACTTAGAATACGCGGTGTGTTTTGGGTCCGTGTCCGCAAATAATAATAATAATTATCATCATTATTATAACATTTATTATATGTAGAAGACGCTTTTATCCAAAAAAGGAACAAAGCAATTCGTCACATTTCATTCATAATACAGGTTGGACAATAATAATAGGGCTAAGATTATCACAAATAAACACAAGATTTTGACGCATATCCAAGTGTGTGTGCGGACTGGGTGTGGAGCGCGCACTGGATGGCACGGAGGCGTGGGCGCGAACACTTGCATTTTCCTATCAACAGTCGAAACAACTTAAAATACTCTATCATTTCTGGTCATACAGAATATAATAATACATTATTCGCAACTACTTTTATTTGCGTAATCTCACAATAACAAGAAAACGATGTGCTTTTGTAAAATAAAATAAAACAATCAGGCGCGCTTTCATGATCTCCGTGAACTGAAGCGCGAGAACTGATAGGCTAGCCTTTGTAGACTGAAGCTTTAAATGTCCACTTTAAAAGGAACAAATTCGAATCGAAAGCTAATACCTTCTGATTATGTAATCCGTATGAAAGGTGCATTTCTCTCTAAAGGTGCATCTGGAGATGGAGATATGTTTTTAGCCGACACTGATTTAGGAAAACAATAGTTTATTAATAAACAATTAAAATGCCTCGTTATTTTTTCAGACACATTTATTATAGCCTAACTCAACTATACATCCCCTTTCTGTAGGCTGTGGTTATGGCTCTTCTCATTCAGCACTGCGGTAAAAATATAATTTCCAGGTTCTAATTTGGCCTTAGAAAACCAGTAAAATCTACATTTTTTTCTCCATATTAATTTGTGAATATTTGAAATGTTTAATAAAGGGGCAAAAAGTCATAAACAAATATCTGAAAATTCGTCTCTCTCTCTCTCTCTCTCTCTCTCTCTCTCTCTCTCTCTCTCTCTCTCTCTCTCTCTCTCTCTCTCATATATATATATATATATATATATATATTATTTTTTTATTTTTTTGTGCAGCATTTGGTGTAGGTCTACAGGTCAAACTAAAATGTTGGTATTCACCTTTGCGTTTTAAAAATACAACAACCGTTCATTTTTCGTTTTGCAATTAGGCCTACGGGTTAAATAAGAAAAATGAATGCAAGTACACTGACCGTTTGGACATAATACGAGACAGAGTTCTTTATTGAATTCATAAAATAAACAATAATTACAGGAGTAGTCTACTGGACTCTAAACCCACTGATCTATATAATGACATTAATAAAGTCATTCTATATTGATCAGTGTCTAAACCTCAAAGAAATGCCACAATCAAGACATCGGAGCAGAAATGAGGGAGAAACACCCAGGAACTCCGTGTCTTTCCCTGCCATTAACGCTTGGATAACACGCCACGTCTCCTTCCATTAATAATAATAATGTCTATGCGGTGGCTGTGATATAGGCTATAAACCTACCAACGTCCGTTGCCATGATTTTTGGAATGACTGATCGCGAGAGGAAAAAAAGACGTTTTAGTCGCATAACATCGGTTAATGGAACGCCGTCATTTCGCAATAGTTTTTTATCGACATTTAGAAAATATCGCAAAAGTTTTGAGCAAATCTGTAATGGAAACGCGCCCCAAATATGATCAAATATTGGGGGGGACAAATTGCCCTTCGTTGAATATTGGGGGGGACGTGTCCCCCTGTCCCCCCATAGGATTACGCCTATGTGTGGAACAGAGAAGCAGAGGAGAAGTCGCCTTGGAGATATCAAGTCCCCTTCTTGGGTAGAGATAAGTGCAAACCTTTTACTGGCCGTCTGGTATGTGATTTATACACCAAGATACTGTATATGAAGAGAAGCGATCTAGGAACAGGAGTCTAGACACCGTAATGAGAAGACAGCTGTTGTGATGCCTGATTGAGGTCGCTATATATTCTTCCGTCTTACTGTCCCTGCTGTTCAGAACAAGGAGGTGGGCTGTGGCCTTATATTTCACAGAGTGGTTGAGAGTGACGTGAGTTGATGCTGTGCCCCACCGTGTGTGTTTGAAGTGAAGTTACTGCATGCTTACTATATCGAATTCTGTCACGTGCCCATCAGCCTTGCCCTGTGTTGCAGTTTGGAGTTGCTGAGGAAGAGATTAAGTGACGGTGGAATTTCAAAGCTTGCTGTGTTCTGATTCATCATTTATGCTGTTCTGAAGAGAGGATGAAATCCAGTTATCTGCTGTTCTGAATGTCCCCCATCTAAAGCTGCTGCATTCTGTTCCATCATCACTGTTGTGGAGAGCGGAGGAAACCCAGGTATCTGTTGTTCTGAGTGTTGTACAGTCCAAGCCTGCTGTGTTCTGATTCATCATTGATGCTGTTCTGGAGAACGGAGGAAATCCAGTTATCTGCTGTTCTGAGTGTCGCCCATCTAAGCCACTTGCATTCTGTTCCATCATCACATGTTGTGGAGAGCGGAGGAAACCCAGGTATCTGTTGTTCTGAGTGTTGTACAGTCCAGGCCTGCTGTGTTCTGATTCATCATTGATGCTGTTCTGGAGAACGGAGGAAAACCAGTTTATCTGCTGTTCTGAGTGTCCCCCAGCTAAAGCCGCTTGCATACTGTCCCATCCTCACTGTCGTGGAGAGCGGAGAAAACCCAGGTATCTGTTGTTCTGAGTGTTGTACATTCCAAGCCTGCTGTGTTCTGATTCATCATTGATGCTGTCCTGGAGAACGGAGGAAATCCAGTTATCTGCTGTTCTGAGTGTCCCCCAGCTAAAGCCGCTTGCATACTGATCCATCCTCACTGTCGTGGAGAGCGGAGAAATTCCAGTTATCTGTTGTTCGGAGTGTTGTACATTCCAAGCTTGCTGTGGTTTGATTCATCATTGATGCTGTCCTGGAGAACGGAGGAAATCCAGTTATCTGTTGTTCTAAGTGTCGTACATTCCAAGCCGGCTGTGTACTGATTCATCATTGATGCTGTCTTGGAGAACGGAGGAAAACCAGTTATCTGCTGTTCTGCGTGTCCCCCAGCTAAAGCCGCTTGCATACTGTTCCATCCTCACTGTCGTGGAGAGCGGAGAAAACCCAGGTATCTGTTGTTCTGAGTGTTGTACATTCCAAGCCTGCTGTGTTCTGATTCATCATTGACGCTGTCCTGGAGAACGGAGGAAATCCAGTTATCTGCTGTTCTGAGTGTCCCCCATCTAAAGCCGCTTGCATTCTGTGTCATCAACACTGCCGTGGGCTTTCCGTATCCCCTGTATAGGGAAGAACCAACCGTACTCGAAGTACCCACCTGCTGTCTAGTCGACGCCCCTTTCACAGCCGTAAGCTTTCTGCATCCCCTGTATAGGGAAGAACCAACCGTACTCGAAGTACCCACCTGCTGTCTAGTCGACGCCCCTTTCACAGCCGTAAGCTTCCTGCATCCCCTGTATAGGGAAGAACCAACCGTACTCGAAGTACCCACCT